CCCTCGCGGCCAAAAAACTTTCCCGGTGCTCCCGATTAGCCAATCCGGGCCTGTGTAACAGATATAGAAATAATAGTTCACTTTATTTATAGAATTACACAAAATGTGTGTTTTACCTGAAGTGTTTATTAAGTATACCTGCTCCTTTAAATTTCTGAGAAAGCTTAAGTTTTTTAATTTCCTGTTCTGCATCCGCCTCCTCCTTTTCATGCTGACTGCACATGGGAGAGGTGGGTGTCTGCAGCTCTAATTGATCTTAAATCATATTTACTTGACTTTTGAAGCCAGTTTTTATGTTTCAATATTATGTATAACTTTCTTTTTCACATATTTCACATAGTTCGTTATTTTTGTGTTTTCACTTTAATTGAGGTTTTGATTTATATTTGTCTGATTGAAGCATGTAAAAGTGATGAGGGCGAAGACACACTGTAAAATCTGTGCTTTTGTTTACATCAGGAGTGATTAAAGAGCCGTCACAACTGCTGATACCTGTCTGGTTATTCCCACAATAAAAAGAAAACACAATGCAGAACCCTTGATGGAGCTGCCAAATATCAGATGATGGGTTCAAAGTAACAATGTGTAAATTATGTTTAAAGTGAAATTCATTCAGTCATTCATTTTCATTTCGGCTTAGTCGCTTTATTAATCGGGGGTCACCACAGCGGAATGAACCGCCAGTTTTTCCAGCATGTTTTACGCAGAGGATGCCCTCCCATGTTGCAACCCATTACTGGAAAACACCCATACACTACAGACAATTTAGCTTACCCAATTCACCTATACCGCATGTCTTTGGACTTGTGGGGTAAACCAGACCAACCAGTGAAAACCCACACCAACACGGAGAGAACTAAAGTGAAATTCTTCTATAATTTTTTTAAATACCACCCGATGTTGATAGACCACACTTATGAGTTAGTAACCACAGCAAAACATATTTCTGTCTAAAACATCTTTTCAAAATATACTCATGAAATTGAGATAATTTCTGTATTTCTGCAATAAAATGTCTAATCTACAAATAAACTTTTATTCATTCATTCATTTTCTTTTCAGATTAGTCTCGTTGGTTCACCACAGCGGAATGAACCCCCAACTTATCCAGCACGTTTTTAGCAGATGCCCTTCCAGCAGCAACCCATCACTCGAAAAAACTAAACTTTTAGTTATTTCTAATTATTAACACACAGCCATGTCATTCATCTCAAAACCTTTATTGCTTCTTTTTTACTGTTAGAAAGATATATCAGAGTAAAAACAACTAGTGTAAAAGTCTGCGTCTCTCTGTGTCGCTCAGGCTGCACTGCAGTGTCTATTCACAGGCGCGATCCTACTACTGATCAGCACGGGGGATTTGACCTGCTCCGTCTCCGACCTGGGCCGGTTCACCCCTCCTTAAACGACCTGGTGGTCCCGAGGTCCCCCAGGAGAACCATATCGATACCGAACTTAGCGCGGACACCCGATCAACATAGTCCACTGCAGCCCAGAAGCCCTGAGCTCAAGCGATCCGCAGCCTCAGCCTCCCTGTAGCTTGGATTACAGGCGCGCGCCACTGAACCCGGCGAGGGCTGAGAGAATCAGAGCTGTGGAGAATCTGATCATCACAGCGACCTCTAGTGGAGGAAAACTGAATGATGAATAAAAACTGACTTCATAGCCTTATGACATTAGATAATAATAAACAGCAGTATGATCACAAATAAAAAAATTACAGTAATTACTATCAACATAGTATTTTTGAACTAAAGATTATTATACCATATTTATTAGCCTTTACAACTCATTTTATGAGTGCCACAACATTCTGTTTTCTGTATCAACTAATAAAATGTAATAAATACTGTAGTATACTTTAGTTTTTTTTACTACAGTAAAAGTGGTTTATTGTATCATAATACATATAGCTGTAGAAAACATATTACAGAATGGGTTATTTGTTTATATTAGGTGTGCATCTGCATAAAACATTACAAACAATCTACGAGCAGAGATAAATACAATATAAAATTCTGAAATAAAATGAACAGAGCTTTGTTGTTTTTCAACGAGTCTAACAGTATTCAGGTACAGTAATGTAATAATCAAATGTAAAATAATACTGCTATTGTCTTCATTTTATTTAATTAAATAAAATGATTTGCAATTAAAATGACAAATTATGCATTTTATTAGACCTAAAGCTTTTACAGTCGCAGGCCTCAGAAACACACGCAAACGCTAAATTATAATCCAGACTCAACCTTGTATTTCTTGTGATGTGACTATTGTGAATGATCATTGATGCTGAAATAATGCTCTGGGATAATTTATGTGAGCTAAGGGATAATTGACCCAAAAATGTTAATTCATAATCGGCACAATCATATTTATGTGGTGAACTATCCATTTAAGATTGTGCAAACAGTGAACCTCTGAAAAAGTAAAGCTTTAATGTTTTAATTTTCCACTTAAATACCAGTTCCTCATCTAACATTCATTCATGCAGTGAATAACTATCATTAACTGAGTTACATATTTATTATTCTGTTTACTCTTACTCATCTACTAACTGTGGTGTCAGATGCGGTTTTGACCTCCATCAGTGTTTTTAACATCTATAAGACTCGACAGAATCTCACACAATCTGTGGCATAAATTGATAGACTGTTTCAGCTTTAGCAGCACATCATGCTGAATTACTGATCCTGAGCTGAACATTGTTTATACAAGTACCACAAGTTATTTAATCTGGTCTAAAGACTAAAAAGCTGTTTAATATTAAAGATAAAAGGTAAACTAAAACCACTTTGTCCTCTCTGACACTAAATATGTTTTAGCTGTTTTATGATTAAAAAATTATGTTTGTGATTATTAATCTGCAACCAACAACCTGCAGTATTTTATAATATGGTGGCCTTTAGCGTCATTGTGCAATATATGAACTGTGGATTACACTAGAGGCCACATCTGCATCTGACACCATATTTAGTGACTGAAAAAGTGTTGATTTAATTAGTGAATGAATGAATGAATAAATGAGATACTCACTGAATGAGTGAATGTTAGTCGCTGAACTGCTTTTCTGTTGTCATTTAAAAGCTTTTCATTTCCTGATGAACTGTGGCCTATTTGACGAGATGTTTTGCTGTTAAACGGCAAATCATAAATAATTTAGTTATGAAAATATTGTTTCTGTATGTATTAATCATTATATATATAATATATATGAGTCACTGGGCGTTGCAGGCACTGTTATTCAATGGTTCAGATCTTACCTCTCTGACAGGTCATTCAGGGTGTCTTGGAGGGGAAAGGTGTCCAACCTACAGCATCTAAACACTGGGGTACCTCAAGGCTCTGTTCTTGGGCCACTTCTCTTCTCCATCTACACGACATCTCTAGGACCAGTCATTCAGAAACATGGATTCTCCTACCACTGCTATGCTGATGATACCCAACTATACCTCTCTTTTCACCCTGATGATCCCTCGGTTCCAGCTCGCATCTCAGCCTGCCTGTCGGACATTTCACACTGGATGAAAGATCATCATCTTCAGCTTAACCTCACGAAAACAGAAATGCTTGAAGTTTCTTCCAACCCGACTCTGCACCACAGTTGCCTTTAAATAGCACAACATTGTGATTAACTATTCAGTACAATAAACTTTACTATGTGGTTCTAAAATACTATAGTATTTAGTTTAAATAACTATATTTTATTTGGGACCGTACTGCTGTTTATTTTTATCCAAACAGTGCCATAAGACCAATAAAAAGTCAACTTTACTTCATCATTTATCATTTTCTCTATTAGAGTTCGCTGTGATGATCAGATTCTCCACAGCTCTGATTCTCTCAGCTCTCGCCGGGTTCAGTGGCGCGCACCTGTAATCCAAGCTACTGGGAGGCTGAGGCTGCGGATCGCTTGAGCTCAGGGCTTCTGGGCTGCAGTGGACTATGTTGATCGGGTGTCCACACTAAGTTCGGTATCGATATGGTGCTCCTGGGGGAGCTTGGGACCACCAGGTCGTGTAATGAGGGGTGAACCGGCCCAGGTCGGCGACGGAGCAGGTCAAATCCCCCGTGCTGATCAGTAGTGGGATCGCGCCTGAGAATAGACACTGCAGTGCAGCCTGAGCGACACAGAGAGACGCAGACTTTTCTTCCAGGAGCACTTACAGATACAAAAAAAAGAGGAGAAATACTAATTAATCTCTTTCCCTAATTTTTTATTGTTCTGACCATTCTAGATTTATAGGGTCATCATAATTGCATTATATCAGGCAGTAAATCTTTTGGACTCTTAAAATGTTCTTTTGATTATCAGAGACAATAAATATCACACACTTCTGATCACTTCTACATTCACTGTAATCCACTGCCACAATCACACACACACACACACACACACACACACACACACACACACACACACACACACACACACACACACACACACACACACACACACACACACACACACACACATTGCTGTATAATAAAGCTTTGAACTAAACTTTGGATTTGGATGAGGCAACTTTAATATTTTATTGATTTTAACACTTAATGAAGATCAAAGGCAATCATGAAGTGATTTACATTATAAACGCATCAGGAAATGATGTGCTTAGAGAGTTTTAAATCATTTTTAACACACGGAAATAAACTTTTGTAGAAAATAAATTTGAAGGTGCTTTTAAAAAAAGTGTTAAATTACTTTAAACACGAAAAAACAAATCGCCAATAGGTGGCAGCAAGAGACCGCTTTAATCGAGTGAAGCTTTAAGTGATTCATTCAGCCACGAATCACTGATTCATTGACTCGCCCGACTCTTTACAAAGGCCAGAATCATTCGTGTAAGGAAACGCAGCTGTGTTTTATTCAGAGATGTCCAACTGTTCTGCTGTTTATTTTATTATTAACATAGTAATGATTTCACTATTATTAATGAGAAAATAACGCGGAAGTTTTTCAGCGCGTCGTCACGTGATCGTCAGCATCCATGGCAACGGTTCTTTTTGTGTTGTTTTGAACTCCGCTCTGTCATTGGCATCTGATCTCGGCGTCCTTCGTGGCAACTGATTCCCAGATTATTGATATTATTGATTGTTGGATACATCGATTGATCGTCTGCTTCTCCCATCATTCAGGTTTGACCCTTGTTATCACACTGTGTTTTGTGTTTAGTATGTCTTGTGTTCATTACAGGTTTCAGAGTCGACTCACCTACGACTCGCTCCAGTTTGAGGGCCTCAACATCACTGTGGGAGAGCTGAAGCGGCAGATCATGAGGCGCGAGAGGCTGAAGTTCTGCCAGCTGAAGATCAGCAAAGCCCAAACTGATGAAGGTGAGATGAGGAAAAGCCACTTAAACTATACTACACTAACATTAGATGTGTTATCAGACAGACTTGTAGAAGCTGTGATTTATTATCCTGACTCTGATGGTGACACATAGTGATGTTCTGAGTGTTTTAAAATGCTAATGGCACTCAAAGTATACCATGGTAAATGATTATTGCTATATTCAAACTTTATTTTGCTGTCAGAATACACAGATGATGATGCTCTCATCCCCAAAAACACGTCGGTCATCATCAGACGGGTCCCTGCGGCTGGACTGAAGTCCTCCAACAGAAGATTTGTTGGGTAAGTCATGTGAAATGAGCGCAATCGTCCTCTGATAGATGTTATATCAAGAGTTTGAGTCTGTCTGTGGTGTTTTAGTCACACAAGCTCCTTTGTTTTGTTTTGCAGACATCAAGCTGGACCATCAGCTAAATCTTCTCAAACAGGTGATTCTTCACTCCTCTCACTGGAGCAGCTGTTGAAGGTATTGAACAAATGATTAATTCACCCCACTGTGCTGCTCTGTATTGAACTGCAGTGTTTGCATTTGAGGCGTCATAATGACATGCAGTGCAGAATATCAATACACAGTGTTTAGCAAACAACAATACACACAAACACACACACACACACACACACACACACACACACACACACATGGCTTCTTAGGGAGATTTGAGGGTGTTTATTTAGAGCAAATCAGTGAAATAAAATTCTAATGTGCAAATGCCTGTGAAACAGACTGAGAATCTGGCTGAGGCAAAGGCATCAGAGGAGGACAAGCTAAAAGCGGTGATGTACCAGTCCAGTCTGTGCTACTACTCCAGCAGGTGAGCGTTCAGACAGTGACTGGTTTGGTTTGTGAGAAATGTTAGAGCTGATTCTCATGGTTCTGATGTTCATCAGTGAGGCCATGACACTGCTTGGGCTTCTTCCACCCAACTATGTCTGCTTTCACTGTGGGATCCCAGGACACCACATTAGGCACTGCCCCTCTAAAGGGGTAACTGGGTTTTCTAAGCTTATGGTTGCTGTGAAGTTGAGCTCTTGTCTCCATCAGTCAGATTGTTTGCTCTGTCGTTTGACTGTCACTCATGAATTCACAGGGCAGCAGCTCTGCTCCGCTTAAGCGCATCCGGAGGAGCACAGGGATTCCCCGCAGCTTCCTGTTGGAGGTGGACGACCCAAACCGAAAGGGAGTCATGATGGACGGCAGCGGCAAATACGTCATTCCCATCATAGACGCGTGAGTAAACTGTACTCGGCATTGCAGCATGTTCTAGTGTTTGTGAAAATCTCACATTATGTCTGCTTGTGTGTGTTTGCGCTCGATCTGTTCAGTGAGGCCTATGCTGCTGAGAAGAAAAAGAGGCCTTCCTTCTGCCAGACCAAGCCGCTGTCCTCCTCTTCCTCAGCTGGTGCAGCATCTTCAGTACAGGACGCCAGAGGGAAACGTTCCCGATCCCCATCTCCACCAGAGACGCACGGCGACCAGAAGAGACCACGGCACTGAGAGACCTTCACCCAAGAGACCTGGAGCTGACGTGAGCACAGTGTATATATTGTACATAGTTTATGAATAAAACTGAATAAAGATTATAGCAGCATAAACTGTGGACTGGTTGACCTTCACACAATACAGAAACACAAAAGAAAATGATCAACACATTAAGATAGAAATGATGAACAAACATGCTGCGGGAGAACCAGTGTGCTGTCCTGCTCAGAATCTAAAACTTTTAGTTAAAGTCTATTAAATGTTAATCTGAAAAAAATAAAACGCTGAACAGCTTTTATAGTATTCAATAGTTTTCCTCATTAAGGGGAAAAGTTCAAGAAACATGGAAGAAAAGGCGGCATGTACATAGTTTTTAAAAATCCATTGGAATGACAAAGATGTGCATGCTCTAATAAGTCATTTTGGCTGTGTTCATATGGTGTCCTTTGGTGGTTTCTATTGCTGTTGTTGTTTACTGTTCAGCTGACTTAAGCAAATAGATTTCTTTAAAATGTAGCTATTAAGGGAAAAAATAATGTATCTTTATATATATATACACATGGCCTCACTGTAGGAAGGCTGCTGGTGGGAGTCCCGACTGGGTCAGATGGCATTTCTGTGTGGAGTTTGCTTGTTCTCTCCGTGTTCATGTGGGTTTCCTCTGGGTGCTCCAAACCCATGTGCTATGCTGTAGGTGAATGAAAAAACTAAATTAGCCATAGTGTGTGTGTGTGTGTGTGTGTGTGTGTGAATAAGGGTGTATGGATATTTCCCAGTACTGGGTTGCAGCTGGAAGGGTATCCGCTGTGTAAAACATATGCTGGATAAGTTGGCAGTTCATTCCGCTGTGGCGACCCCAAATTAATAAAGGGACTAAGCTAAAGGAAAATGAATGAATAAATTGATTGATTGATTTTATTTGACAATTTTAACAAAAATATACAAACAAGTCCAGTTTGACATTCATATCTTAAAAACTGTCGAGGATAAAATACACAATAAAGTCACAGGCTGATTTCCATCGTGGTCATCGATATTCTTAAAAAATGAACGAGCAAATCATAAAGTGCAAACATCATCAGCTCAGAAACTCAGCACAACAAAAATCCTCAACTTCAACCGTAAAACAGCCATTTTTTAATTTCCTCTCTAAAAACTCTCAAATTGAATCTCTTTAAAACTCCTCGGCAGTATATTCCAAGCAACAGTACACAGAAAAGACTTTCTACCTGTTTCACTCTTAAATCTACAAGGACAAATACCCCTGCTACTCGCTCTTGTAGAATGACAGTGTACCTCACTAACTAAAACTTAATAAGTAAACATTTTGGGACCATTTTCTTTAAAATCTTAAACACCATCACCAATTTCAGAAAAGTGACCCTTTTTCCAACTTTTAATAATTTAATTTGACTATAATATTCATTATTTAAATGTGTCAGTAGAAGTACTTTGATAACAATTCTGCAACTTATTTTGGGCCGTCTGCAATTTATTTGTCATTTTTGTGGAACTACTGCTGTACCAAAAGACTGCAGCATAGTCAAAGTATGACTGCACTAATGCACTAGCCAATATTTGTAAAGTTTGGAAATCTAAGAGCTCTGTCTGTCTTGCTAAAAACTTAATTTTAGAACTTTTGATTGGACTATAACAGCCATCTTCTCACCTGTCAAATTACTGTCTGAAATGCAACCTAAATATTTCCCTTCATGTTTGTGTTCATTAATTTGATGCTCTACTTTTACCTCTGATCTGACACATTTTCTCAGTTTCGCAGCTGAACCAAATAAAATAAATTCTGGTTTACACAAGTGTAAGGACAATTTATTAAGGTTAAACCATTAAGAGACTTCCTCAGTTTGTTCACTTATTTCATTTTCAATAAATTCCTTCCTCTCATGAGACACAATTATTGCTGCATCATCCGCATTTAACAAAAGCTTTTTTGAACAGGCCATTTTCAAATCATTGATGTATATTAAAAAAGCAAAGGACCTAAAACACTGCCTTGTGAAACGCCATAAGAAACGGTCGAATTATCTGAAAACACCATTTAAATCTACTATTTGACATCTGTTTTCAAGGTAAGACTTCATGCATTTACAGGCCAAAACACCAAAACCCATTGCCTTTACTTTTAAAATCAATATCCTGTGATCGACTGTATTGAAAGCTTTTTGCAGGTCTAAGAAAACCATCCCACTTAACTTCCTTTATCCATATCGCTCTTTATATAATTTGTTAAATAAAAGAAACTGTTGAATCAGTGGAATGATTTTCCTAAAACCCGATTGAAACTCTACAATACGTCACATTTTAAACAATATTTTTCAATGTGCTAATAAATAACTTTTCCCCTCCCTTTTGACAAAGCACTCAAAATTGATACCAGCCTAGAATTATTAACCTCAAACCTACTACCTTTCTTAAAAAGAGGAATAACTCTTGCTTTTTTCAACTTTACCTTGACAAATAGAAAAATTGATAATATGTGTAACCATCGGAGTGACGCATTTAGGGAGTCTTTGAGGGAACTGCTCTGGAATATTATCTAACCCTGTTGCTTTACTATTTTTAAGTGTTATTAATTTCTTAAATATATTCCCCTCCTCTATTTTATTAAACAAAACTTTCTAGATTAAAACTGCATTTGGCATAATACTCTATAACTAATTTATCAATAAAAATGCCATTTTGTACTGGAAGCTTTTTAACCGTCAATATCAGGTGGTATTAAAAAAATAATTAACAATGTCATAGTCAGATATAATTAAAACAAACATGATGAAGCCAGTAAATCTGGTTGTGACCTACCCGTGTGTTACTTTTGTTTCTGATGGGGCCAAAAATTATAATGTGCCATTTATGTTTAAAGTGAAATTATTCTCTATATATATTTTTTTAATTTGATATATTTTCAATTAAATTCAATATATTTCTGTCTAAGGCATATTTTTAAAATATAGACATGAAATTGAGATGATTTTTGTATTTTTGTTTACAAATAAACTTTTTGAAGTCTGCTAGTAAACTTTTAATTATTACTTACTATTAATAATGCATAGTCATCATAAATCTCTAAATCTTTATTTCTTCAGTTTTAAAGTTAGAAAGACAAATCAAAGTTTAAAAAAAAAAATTTATGTAAAAGTCTGCGTCTCTCTGTGTCGCTCAGGCTGAACTGAAGTGTCTATTCACAGGCACGATCCCACTACTGATCAGCACGGGAGCTTTGACCTGCTCCGTTTCCGACCTGGGCCGGTTCACTCCTCCTTAAACGACCTGGCGGTCCCAAGCTCACCCAGGAGCACCAAATCGATACCGAACTTAGTGCGGACACCCGATCGACATAGTCCACTGCAGTCCAGAAGCCCTGAGCTCAAGCGATCCGCAGCCTCAGCCTCCCAGTAGCTTGGATTACAGGCGCGCGCCACTGAACCCGGCGAGAGCTGAGAGAATCAGAGCTGTGGAGAATCTGATCATCACAGCGACCTCTAGTGGAGGAAAACTCACTTTTATAGAAGTAAACTAATGCTTTAATAACCTGTGCTAATAATCATACACTTACAATAACATTATAGTTCACTATTATCCAGCAAGTTTTTACGCAGCGGATGCCCTTCCAGCCGCAACACATCTTTGGGAAACATCCACACACACACACACTCATACACTACGGACAATTTAGTCCACCCAATTTACCTGTACCGCATGTCTTTGGACTGTGGGGGAAACCGGAGCACCCGGAGGAAACCTACGTGAAGGCAGAGGGAAAATGCAAACTCCACACAGAAACTGCGCCACTGCCTCGCCACCTTCACTATTGGAATTCATAACTTGATAATCCATTGTCTGTAATATTTTTTTTGCATGAGTAAAATTTGCATCTCACTGATTTTTCGTAATAATTAAAACAATGGTAAATCTGATAAATGATTAGAAATGATCCTTATATCAGGGATTATTCATTGCAGTCTTCTTGTTTTGTTTTAATTCATTGCTGCAAATTAGGTCTGTAAATGATTTTTCATTATTCTGTAAACATTAAATGAGATCTGAATCACTAACCCTAAACAAAAGAGTTTTTGAATTAGAAACACTCAATAATATGAATCAGCCTTTCAGTTCAAGCCTGCTGCAATCGCTCTTCTTCTTGGAAAGGTCAGTGCTGATCCTTGTTCTGCAGATTCTGACGTTTTAAATCTGCTTGTGGTGTTTTATTTATTTGTATATGGGTGTAGGGTCCACCCAGTTGGTCCAATGACGGTATCCAATGGTGGATGAAGGTTCACTGCATGTTCGGTCTTTCCAGTGGACAATGTTGATTTATATTAAACTTAACTCATATCTGACTCCAATTTTAGTATGAGGTGGTTTAGAATAATAATATATTTATCCTCGTTTTATCTGACTCCAATTATAAAACATTGATAAGATTATTTTGTTTCCTTTCACATTATTTTAGATTATGATTGAATATTCTTTTGATTTGTTATTATACCTTATTCTCATTTACTCAGATTCCTATAGCATCTCGAGTCTTGCACCGGCCGGGTATACAATCTCTTAATACAAGCTCGTCAGTCTTGGTCATTAAACAGAGGCGATTAACCACTCTCCTAAAGTGGCAAAACCCTATACTTACTCAATTTAGGAGATTTTTTATGTGGTCCCCATAGATCTGTTATCTACTTAATCAAGACAAAGTATTTTAATAATAATCGCACAGGATTATAAGTTTGTAGATGAAGGCCTAAATATCCACATTTAGATTAGTTTCAACAATATTTTGTTGTTCTAAATAGAAAACTCATAGTTGGCCTTTTACAGTCTAAGGGTGCTTTCACACCTGTGATTCGATTCAGTTGTTCCGAAACAGAGATTACAATTGTTACATTGTTGCTCTTTGCTCTTGGAGCGGTTCGCTTTCA